TAATCGTTAGTAACCATATATTTATGAATATACAAAAAACATTATATTTCTATTTGCTGAAATAAAATTCCTGTATGAGTTTACCTTTAAAATCCCTTTTTATTGCACACCTAGAACATTAGAGAAACTATTATACCAAATCAAGTTCATACGTTAAWTCATTTTTGAGAAGCTGTATCTAGTTATATTTAGCTTTTATACAGGACAGAAATATATAATATAGTTGTGTGTTTGGGTAATCTTGAAAGCTACTGAACCGATTGCTATCAAATTTCGTACACATACTCTATAATTTTTTTTTACTAAATCTTAGTAAAATTAGTTCGTAAATCTAGGCAAATAAAATTATACGTCAATTCGCCAGTAATCTGAAGTAAGTACACTAAAAATGAGATATTTAGTACATCTAAAATATAGTGTCATAGTTTATAATTTTTCCTTCTTCCCCTAGCTTAGTTGAGTTACACAGATAGTAAACACATATGTTTATATTTATTTATTTTAGTATTTAAAAAATATATATTATTAACTATTAACTTTGATTTGAAACATAATGTATTTAATCAACACCAAATGGTGATTTGAGTAATTACCCACTTAAATGTATATCAGATAACAATTATACTTATAAAGGGTATCTATTGAAAAATATAATTATTGTTGTAGCTATACAATAAGACGTGTATTAATTCACAGTTTATCTCAAATAAAATGTTTTACACTTTAACAAATATTTAATTATTTAAAAACAAAAAATGTAGGTAATATGTAGAATAATTAGCAAAAATATTACTTATTCATCAATATTAATATAAAGAAGTTACATAATAATTTATACAAACTGGTAGTTAAGTGGTGGTGTAGTGTAAGGGATGAAGCACTAAAGCCTCTCACACATTACAAAAACATTGTGAATTTCTGTACCCCCATCTTATGGTRTTTGCAAAGTGMAATTAATGCTGTAAGTACAGTTGTATTTWGGAATATAGTTTGAAATTTGAAAAATAAAAATACTCTGATTGCAGCTCAATGGTAAATCGCAATWAATTATATTGTGGTTACAAGACCAGCTAATTAGTTGAGTGTTATTGTATTTAATATTATACATTTTGAACAGGTGACTATCATAATAGTATTAGCCTTAACAATAAAACATTATATTTGTTGATTTCAATACCATGTTAAGTCTTGATTAGTTTTGATTACGATAAATTATCTTTAATTAGTAAATTTTTACTACGGTCCTCCATCCCAT